TGTTTTTAGTTATCTTGTAGTGGTGTACTGCGTATTAAATGTATGGTGTTTTTAGTTATCTTGTAGTGGTGTACTGCGTATTATATGTATGATGTTTTTAGTTATCTTATAGGTATAATACGCAGTACACCAGGTATGATGTTTTTAGTTATCTTGTAGTGGTGTACTGCGTATTATAGGTATGATGTTTTTAGTTATCTTATAGTGGTGTACTGCGTATTATATGTATGATGTTTTTAGTGGTCTTGTAGTGGTGTACTGCGTATTATATGTATGATGTTTTTAGTGGTCTTATAGTGGCGTACTGCGTATTATATGTATGATGTTTTTAGTTATCTTTTAGTGGTGTACTGTGTATTATATGTATGATGTTTTTAGTTATCTTTTAGTGGTGTACTGTGTATTATATGTATGATGTTTTTAGTTATCTTTCATATGACAATAAACATAGGAACTGATAAATATGTAGCATTGATGTTACTGGTATATTCTTCTAAGTTATTTCAATATAAATATCTCTTCACTAGTGAAGAAAAGACAACTATAAACTCCATACATGTATAAAAATCCATATAATATCCATAACTCCTTTTGTTTTCTTTTAAAGGACTAATTTATTTTAAAGTTGACACTTTTCCTGTTTCTTGCGATTTATATTTCATGTGAGACCTGTAAATATGCTTGTTATATTCCTTAGTGGAAGAATGCTGTTGTAATGGTTAATGCAGGTTTTTCTATGTCACCAGAACAGTGCATTGTGTATTGTAATATTTAAAAAAATAATTGTAAAATTTTTTTTCACTGGGTGTTATTTTGCTACTGAATAGCTTGAACAACAACAAGCATCTTTGAAATACTACGTTGCTGAACATCAAGAGCTGACGTCTGAGCTTTGGAAGAACATCAAGGTTTTGCTCGAGGAGCTAGTAACGGGTGTTCACAAGGTTCAGGATAACGTGGTTTTAATTTCAGAAGCAGAGTCAGCACTGAATCAGGTGAGAGAATATACTTCAAGTGAATGCTATTTTTGTGTGTTTTAGCATTTTTTTTTTTTTTAAATTAAGGTATTTATGTATGACTTGCAATGTTTTACTCAAACAACCGAGCAGGGTGGCAAAAAAAAAAATGTGAAGAAAGTTGGGTAAATGCTGCTTAACTATGCCTAGTATCAACATTTAATTTTTATATAATTGTTGGCAGACTAGCCTCTTTATTGTTTTAGCTGATGGTAGGTATTTAATTCGTTATATCTGATGATAAGTTAGATCAAATATTATTTTCTCAATAAAAAAGACAAACATATTATTTTCAATCTTCGTGTTGCAGCATACTTGTTTGATGATAATATCCCGTGGTACATTAGTTAGTAGTAAGCATATTCTGAAGTTTTAATCACCCGTTGTAATCAGATTACAAGCTAAAGTAGTGTTAATTAGGTATATTTGAAATATAAGCTGTACATATGTAGAAAATCTGTATTTTCTTTTATGTGAGGAATTTTATGTGGAAACAATTTTGCCATCTTGCTAAATATGAAAAATATACTCCACAAGATTGAACGTGTTCCTTTTTATTCAAGTTTCTTTGTAAATAAAACTTGTAGCTTTTGTATCGTAGAAATGAAGAAACTTGTATTCTATTGTTACACTGGAGAACAGTTTCTTATGTTCAGGTATAGCTAAATATACTTGCATGTTTTTTTACAAGAAATGGGAAGACAACATGAAGATGCTACAACAAATGTTCAGTTCCATGCAGGAAATGATGACACGTCACAAGGAACACGTCAGTCCTCTTCTACCTCAAGTAGGTCCTTGCAATAAGTTATCATAAAAGATGGCTTTAATTTAGTTATGTTGTGTGTCTCAATTATAATTAGATATGCAACAAGTTTTATTTATTAAAGTTTTCTGTCTGCAGATGATTTTCCAGTTTGAAATTTTGGGGGGAACTTTGAATAAAATTAAGAGTGATAACACTTATATTACTATACATATGAGCTTTTTGTATTTTTATAATGCAACATTAACTAGCAAGCACAGTTTCTGTTAATTCTTGTTTATTGGCTCGGCATGGCCAGGTGGCTAGGGCACTTGACCTCGAATCCCCATCCTACCAAACATGCTCGCCCTTTCAGCCATGTGGGTGTTATAAATGTGACGGTCAATCCCACTATTCGTTGGTAAAAGAGTAGCCCAAGGGTTGACGGTGGGTGGTGATGACTAGCTGCTTTCCCTCTAGTCTTTCACTGCTAAATTAGGGACAACTAGTGCAGATAGCCCTGGTGTAGCTTTGCATGAAATTCAAAACAAACCAAACAATGTTGTTTATTGCCCTCTTTTATACCCACATTATTGTTGACTGATAGAAGTTTCATCATGCCAGTTTTCTTGAATTGTAGAGATGACACAGCTCTTAATGATCAATCTGTGAAAAGTAAATGGCATTGGTAGTGGTGCGAAGAGAGGGATTCTTTAAATAGGCTGTATGGACAGTGGATATGGAAAACTGACATTCCTAGCTAGTGTTTTTGTATTATTTGTAATGGCTGTCCAAATTATCGAAGTAATTTTTTGCTAAATTAAGTTTTTTTGCTAAAATTTTTTTAGTCTTAGCTA